AAAAATACTTGTATTTGTATTCAAATACTTTTTTATTCGAATACTAGTATTAGTATCTTAATAATTGTTCAAAAGTATTTTTTACAAGACTGCAATATTATTAGTGGAATTATTTGTTATTATCATATTTTTATTATAATTTATTACACAAGTTTGATAATTATTAATAGGTCATACGAGCTGGTCTCTTCCAATTTGTAGCATTTTCCGCGCCGAATTTCGGATAGCTTCGACGAAATTAAAAAACATTAACCGTAATGGACGCCGTAAGAATAGTTTTTCCCTTTTCCATTTCACTTGTGACGTTATTATTAGCTAATGGTCCAATAGATTGTACTCAATACTCTAGCAGAAGTCCCGCGGCTTTAATATATTACTTGAAAAATAAATCTTTTTTTTTCCCATCGTTTATTGAACGATGTTTCAAAAGAGTTATCAACATTATTATGATCGTGTAGATACCGTGTACAAAATTTTACCTACAAACAACCGTTATTTATCGTCTGATCGTTGAAATAAATCAAAAATTTCGATAATTGTACATGTATATATTATATTTCAATGTATCAATTACGAATCATTTTTATCCGTTAACGGTTGTTCGTACTAATGTAATCTATTCGGTTATAATCCCAAATCACTCAATTTTAAAGAAATACAGGACAAAAATGTACAATTTTAGTTGATTAGTGACTTTTACCTGAACATATTATGGGAAAACTCTCCATGCGCTTATTGAAATAAAAATACTTAATATATTTTTCATTCCTTTGTGGTAATACGTGTCAGTGTATCGAAGTAAATATTTCGTAAGATATCAATAACCATAAATAAATACGGTTAGTTGGAGAATAAAATTGAGAAATTATTCTTTGATGAAATCCTTCTACTCCATTTGAATTCGTTTTTATAATATTTTTCTTAATTTAACAATCTCAGTTTTCAATTAAAAATGTTCTTTTAATGAAGCATTTAAGAATGTAGTTTCAAGTAAAAAACAATCTTGTGTCTGAAATATTGAAATTGAATAAATCCATTACCGCATTATTGGATCAACACAGATAATAACATAATTTTAAAAAATTTCAGAAAACACATTTATAGAAATGTAATCCTTGTAAACCCTTGTAAAATGAAACGGAAAAGTGGACAGTTTATATTTATAGATCATTTTGGATTCAAAATCAATAGTATGTGGTTTTTGAACTATCTTCACGACGGATCTCTACAGTTAGATAACTACTTGTATTAATTTTGTGTATCGAAATACATTAGCTTTCTGTCTTGTATGCAGATAATAAGTCTACAGTCACCTAAACATGTCGGGAACAAAATAAGTTGATCATAGTCTTGTATTTTTGCGGAAAGTAATATTATCGAAGATGTACATTATGTATCCGTTATTTTTCCGATGCGTGTTATAAAAAATATATAAACACAATATGGTGTATAAATGCACTATATTATTCGTTTATAATACAGAGCATTCGGCTACACATTACTTTTTACGATGTACCTAATATTATTATACTTGAAGTTTTGTTTGAAAGTCTTGAGTAAACTCTGCTATTACGATATTTATAAAATATATATATAAACAATATTTGTGTAATAATAATATTTATTGATAGTTTTTCGATCCGATGAGGACAGGTTGGCCAATATTGTGTGTATAATATAAAGACTCTATGTGTGGTTTTAGCCATACTTCTTCCACCCTCTCATTCCTGACCGTCGCCTTAAACTAATAACAGGGTATATCTGTGCATGCACACGTACATTAACACATTATACGATGAACAATGAACTTTCTACTAACGCACATGTATATACGTAAAGGCAAATATTGAGGATCAGTAAGGAGTATCGAAGAAGGATTCTACGTAACTCGAATATAATTCTACTTATCGACCCATGAATCCACCGTGAAACATATTATGTTATTATATAAAAAAAAAAAAAAAATAAATAAATAAAGTTATTTCTACGCGTAAAAATATATTTGAAATGAGAAGAACATAGTGTGTTTATTTTTCAACGTACGTTGTACATAGCATTATAATACTAAAACATATTAAATTTATGCTAATCCGGCGTCGAAAAAATGTAAATTACTGTTATTATTAAATATTCCGCTATAAAGAAAACTAAAATAATGTTAATATATGAACGTTATCAAACACTGTAAATCATAAGAAAAATTTTTAACACAAACACAAAAAATCAGAAAAAACAAACCATAAGCTTGTATATTTTTTTACAGCCATACAAAGATCCGATCAATAAATAAACACACACAAGCACACATTTAAAAAATGCCCGTTCTCCAACTCGATATAAAAATGTGTAACTAACCAAGTTTTCAAATCCTTGGAGAATATTACTAAAGTTTTGATGGTTGGCTTTGAGGTTAGTACTTACAAACTTTCTCAACCACAAGCTATGAATAGCACAACCATCAAGTTCATAAGTTCAGTATTGGCTATTTGTCAAATTGTTTTTCTTGATAGTTTGGAAGTTAACAAAATAAAACAAATAACTGATTAACTAGGTTAAATAGAAACAAAAAGTTTTCGATAAATTAAATACAGTTCTGTTACAATTAAATATACCACCTTCAAAAAGAAAACATTCTTTTGACACAATATTTGATTAAAGTTGATTCACAATTAATTATTTTTTTGGAATAACTTTGACACAAAAGGTTGCAAAATATGTTCGTAGTGTCACAGATCATGTACTCGTATATTGAAAATTATAATCCATGATGATAACATAGGTGCTGACAGTTTTCAATTGAATTATTTACTGGAATTTAACACGTTTCATTTAAACAAAACAGAAAACCATATAATATAAAAATTATGGCCACATACATTACATTCAGTGATAAAACAATAGGAGGTATAGGATGTATTCGATACAAATGTATTGTATTCATTCACTCTAGCCCAAGATCAATGTTTCATAAACGTAAATATTTTTAAAAATAAAACAGTTGAGTAAAATAATCCAAAAATGAGTAGGAATTCGTGGATCATCAAACCGTTTCTACGAAATTGCTTAAACAATATTAAAAATTATAATATAAAGTGTATTTTTAATAATATTCATATCGTATATGAGCATCAACATAAGCGTACATTTTTGAGAGTCCATGTTATGAACATAACTATATTAGAATGTAAAAACTATGTAAAACTATCTAGTTAATGCACGATTTAACCAAAACAACCAAATACAGCAAAATAAAACAAACACCACTTATTTGTGGACGAATTATGTTTTATAAAAATAAAATTATCTAAAAAGACGAAATAAACCTATACCATATAATATAAATAACGTGTTCGAAAGAAAAAAATATATATATATCGCAGTTAAGAGGAAACAACCGTTCAATTTAACGCGAAAATAAAAATGGTAAATTTTTATTCCATGTTTTTCGAATGGAATTCATTAGGTTGTTTTGGTAGAAGTGGTGCACTTTTCCGCTTCCACAAATTTCCCTCTAAATTCATTGTTTGCACATGCAGTTGTGTGTTTGCATGATTTATGATCTGCAAATAATATTATATTTCATGAAGCATTATAATTTAAGCTCATAAACTATGCTCATTGTCGATAACATCAAATAATTCTCTCACTATTTTTAACATTCAACAGAAAAATAAATTTTACAGTTTTTGGTAACAGAACATTTTAAAACCAATAATTTCTTTTCAAAAATACGTGATTCATAATAAAAAAATGCCATCTAGATACCGTTTTCAAAAACTAAAGTAATATAAATTGTTAAAGAAGTATATGCAAACTCTTGGATGTATGAATGCAGAGAAGCACCCGTAAGAACATTCTAAGAATGAAGTTAAAAATAAAAGTTTCATAGTTTCACTACTGAGGAATACATGAAATTCTTATAATGATTTGAAACTTTTAAAACGTAAGATTGAATATTTTTTATCAAAAAAATGAAATCTGTTCCCATAAACTCTCACAACTACAGTTGATATTTATATTATGAGTATAGTTTATGAAAACTTTTTACAGAATAAAATCCGAGAGTAATATGGTGTGCAATAAGATTTCCCGGGACTTAATAATACACGTAAATTGTTTTTTACGATGTTGTAAATCAATATTTTACTATGAACGATGCCTTTTACGACCATAAAAATACACGTTGTTTCAATACTGTTTTACTTAAAGGTTAAAAATAAAAATAAACACAATTCATATATATCTATATATGATATATAAAATATTTAATAATATTACGTGAAAACAAAAATGGTCAGTAAAAACAAGGCATGCATATCTCTACTCTCATATGCCAGTGATTTCCGCCGCCGACAACTAGCATGATAAGTGACGTCTCGGAAAACTTTTTAGCATGTTCCTAAACAACCACATATACTCGTATATATTTATTACAATGTTTTTGATTGGTTAAGATACACTATATTGCACTTGAACCACCAACAATAAATCGTATCACACCGTAATGTTTTTTTTTCCCAGAAAATATGTTTTATCGTAATATGTAATTTAAAAAATATCTAGTCGTGGGCCTTCGTAGTAAAATAACCATAATATATTATATTCATACAATATCTACCGGTTACAAAATATTTAAAAAACCAGCGACGGATAAGAATAATAAAAAAAAAATAATCGAATTCTATAAATATCAGTTTAATATGTCTATAGAATACGGAATATGAAAATCAAAAAATATAATTAATGTAGGTAGGTATACACATCATCAAGAGACTAGAAGATACCTTAAAATATAAGGCTGAAGTGATACACTCGATGGCGGATTTCGGTACAAAAAAAAAAGTGACTTCGACTGTTAATAATCATAATAATAATAATAATAATATGTATGTAGGACCCATATGGACGTTTCGTTGAACGTCGGTAAATATTCAAAACATGGCGCTATGTGCGTCGTCTGCATACGTATTTTAACATTTTAAACTATACATGTATTGCAGATAATCAGTTACGATTCGCCCAGAGGAGGTGTGAACGTAGTCACCGAGAAGGGGACGGTAACCACCAGCCATTTGCTGATACAGGAAGCCAGAGTCGAGGACAACGGCAGATATCAATGCAATCCGTCCAACGCGCAACCGAAGTCCATCAACGTCCATGTGTTGAATGGTAAGCAAACGGTTGAAAAACGATTTTACGTTTTTACAACTGCATTTTGACCGGGGTAAACTAAATTTTCGTATCATACGTACACAGAGATGTAGAAATGCGTAAAGTGAACGTTGGTCACAGATAGGTGTTGCGGTTAAATGCGACCCGGCATTGCTAGCTCCCGACGAATGGTCCATAGGGGTAGTTTTCAGCAACCATGTCCATGGCCCACGTGTTGCAAAATGTTACCCCATCGCATGGACCCATCGTCACCGCTATCGATAAATGTGGCTCGGACCGATAAATGAAAAATAATGATATTCTGACATTACAACATAATTATGAACTACTGTTGTGCTTTAACATTTTCAACTATATATTATTTAGTGATTTCAGTGCTGAAAATTAATCGTGTACATTTTTTTTACCGTTTCAAATATCATTCAATTCGTGGTTGTTTTTATTGATTGCCATAAAATTATAATAGTAATTAAATTTAAGATTTTTGTAAAAAGACTATAGTTGATACTTATAACCTATACCTATAACTAAATAACATTTACGGCTAATATTATAAATAATAACATTAAATTAGTTAAACTACAAAGTTTATTTAATATTTCTGTATAATTAAAATCATCAAATACATAATACATTTATTCCGAATAAGTATATAATATTATTTAAGGATACTGTTCCAAACAATTATTGAAAATATCTTTCAAAGATGGTTAAAAAATAAAATATATATAGTCCAAGTTTATTGTTTAATATCTCAATCCACAAAGAAAATGAAAACAAAACGCCAATGTTCAGTAATTTAATTCTGTGTTTTCATTTTTAACATTGTAAAAGTAATCTATAAGTTGCAACCACAAAATGGTATTATAAATATTTTTTATTTATATTTCATTACAGTTGACACTTAATTTTTTTTTTTTTTTTTTTTATTATCAAATATTTTACTTTTATAACAGTTAAACAAAAACATAAAATAGCTTACAATTTCCAAGAACTTCAAGTTTAAAATAATGGAGGAACTTTGTAAACTTAACGAAATCCTATTAAAAAAATAAAAAACAATTTAAAATTCAAATAAACCAACTTTACCATTTTTACCGTAATTTTTTAAATTTACCAGTAATACTATCCAAAAACTATTTTGGCTAGGATTCAGATCACTTTTAATAATGACGAAAAATATGATCCACTGTACCATATACTACAAAAATAATCTACACAGCGTATTATAGTCATATTATGGTAATACAGTGGTCGGTATCACTACGCTGTCCATGCATTATGGTAATGCATACGGTTTCTAGTGTTTCAGTTTCGTACTTTTCCCTTGACCGACGGTGGAGGTCGATCTTCTTCTATGAGTTCCTATCCGTTCCAGATGTTGAAAATCATATCGGCAATGCCATCGTATGTGTAAATAACCCTGTCAACGGAAGTCGATCGTAATAAATATTAATTCTCCTCGAAACCGATTACGGTTTTTAAGACCATTGTTCATGGAAAATACACAGTACTTAACATTAAGAATAGAAACGTGCAGCACTATAGAATACAGATTTGATTTCGGTATCCGTCGTTGAGTATATAGGGAATAATTATCTTTTCCGACGGCTTTTCTGCCCCCGCAATGTTTATTGTTGCATCTGATCTCGTGCTCGCGGGCTTCTCGATTTTCCGCCACGAGAAGAACTGCGCGAATGCAGATCGAACGCGCGTCATCGCGTGATTCACATATCGGACGATTCACTCGGTGTAAGGCTGCGGTCACAGTGGTACCGATGTCGGCCGATTTGACCGAAGACCGACGTCAGTGAAACTCGCCCGATCATTTAAAATAAAGTAAATATTATACAAGTGGTCTTAATGCCTCCGACCGCATTGGTCGATTACACCGACATCGGATATCCATCGGACGAAATTCAATTTGGTTTGTTTTTATCGACCGATTCAGTCGACGTAATCAGTTCAAATACGAATATTATTTTATAATATGACGTTTTCATCATGGACTACAAGAAATTAATAAGTTCGGTTCATGAAACAAGGATCTCATGGGACCATAGTAGTAAATCTTGGTTGGTAAAACAGTGTATGGAATTCTCCATATTTTTTCGTATCCTAAAAAATGTCATTCGTGTAATTCTTTCGCTTTTTTAATAAAAAATATTTAATATTCTCATAACACAAAAATGAGGAGTCATCCGTTTTATAAATTATAACCGGTACTCGTTGCATTGAACGACTGTCGGCCAATTTTATCGGCCGACGTCCGAGGCACTGTGACCATCCTATCACAGACGTCGGCGCTGCTGTGACCGCAGCCTAACACGTATCCGCGCGATACCGCTGCAATGTTGTTAACGCGGACATTTGTTGTTGCAGGAGAGTACCCGGCGGCGATGCAACACGGCGGCCAGGCGCACCAGAGGACCACGCACATGTACTGTTTGATATTTTTCGCGTGTATGCTGTTGCACGTGTAAGCTGCCGTTTGGCCCCGGAGTGTGAGAAAACATTCAAAAATAATTACGAAGCGACCAGCGGACGGCGGACAAACGGACCTCGACGCGCGCATCTTCTCGCCGATAACGCCGGTCAACGGACGTCGGTTAATTAGAACCACGGCGTTTCAATCCGTTCATTTCGTCGTTAACCATAATAATATGATATTTTGTGTGAATCAGAAAAATAAATAGATAGTAAATTTATTCCACGCATTCGCGTCAATCAATCTCCTACGGGTGTGCGCTGAACGAGGGTAGGTTGGGGAAGGGGAGTGAAAGACCGGCGGGGTGCGATGAACAATAACAATTTATCACGAATGTGTACGTTCACGTTCGGTAAAAATAGGATGAAGAGAAAGAGTGGTAGGGAGAGAATCGTAATATTTTTTTTTTTTAACGATGATGTACACCGCAGTACGTCGAAAGCACTATTAGAAGTACAAAGACGTTTATCCCGATCGCGCGTGTATGCGCGTTTTTCATATGTAAGGTCATCTAGTTGTGGTGATGACCGTAGTGATCCATTTTCCTTCATTTTCAATCACGACAATTCAATGGTTTGATGATTAGAAACCTTTTCCCGGTTTTTTAAAAAAAAATAAATAGTTCACTGTTCCAGTTCTATTCTACGTCGTAGATTTTCCCCCGTCCTGTCACGATCTTTCAAGTGAAGCGTAGTTTTTATCATTATTATTATTGTTATTCGAACTCCTCAAACGTCGCACGTGTATACACTGCAACAGCCACAACGGTCAAAACCCCTCTCACTTCGTCCTCCGTGGCCTTTGAAATCCTTAACATCATGTGACTATTTTTATTTCTCAATCGATCAGTCGCACACTCAAAACGAAAGAAAAATCGTAACCCTAAAATAAACTAATTGTTTTTACATCAAAGTATAAAATATTTTTCATATTTTCTCACGAAATATACATATTATTATGGATATTATATAATTATTATAAATATTATTATTATATTCAGCACCAATTTAACGGGTGTGTATTGTATCTTAATATGTTCGTAGCCCGATTATCGCTATTCATATTGCATGCATAACCAGTTATCGTGTACATAATACTATATCAACCACGCAATCCGTTTTTGTTGTATAAAACCGTCGTATAATTTTTATATTTTATTGTAAATAATTTCAACAATTATTTTATTTTCATTATATTATTATTATTTTTTTTTGTCCCCCGCTATATTATAATATTTATATTAAAAGTCCAATAATATCTTTTTCAATCAGATTGGACAACGGAGTATATTATTCTTGTTTCGACCATTGAAACGATAGTTTTAGAAATTATTTTAATACTGAATGTATAATAATGAAATAAAATAATATATACATCAAAATATTAATATATGTAGAAATACTAGAATTATATTATAATATTATAACATTTATCTGATTAGGCGTTAAAAAATGCGCTTCGTATTTAAATTAAATATTGAGAAAATAATTTCAAATCACGTATTATATTGATTAAATTGTAACAAAATATAGAACTATAATGTAATAATATATCGTAGGAAAAAAAAATACTAATTATTAATAACATTATATTTGTTTTATTTTTTATCTTTACAATAAAATAACTCATATTTCTATAATCTGTATCCTCGAGGATCGATATCCTTTAGAGAAAATCTGTACCGCAACCAGAGTAAAACCTGGTTAGAACGATGAAAGTAATGTTATGTAATTGTATATTATATAAGGGCCCTGTTATTGGTAACAGCAATAAAATGTAATTATTTAACTATTAGTTGTCCATATTAGTTTTTTATCCCTTTGTATTTATAATAAAATTGTATATAATATTTATTATGTCATTAAGAGTATCTAACTAAAATTCTAATATTGTACATTTAAAAAGAAAAAAAAAACATTTTATGCAATTGTTACCTATCTAAAATAAGTTAGTAAAAAATGAATGGTTTTTGTAACTGTTTTCTGTTTTATTAATGTTGTAAAAATCGTTATATTAAATAATAATTAATTAAATATTATAACTAAATATATTATATATAAAACATACATAAAACATTTATATGTACTTATATTATATATTATGTGTTCATGCGTACCTATATTATATAATATAAAAAACAAAAAAATTATACTGTACTCGTTTTACTGTTTATTCATTTAATCGCCACATTTACCTTTGGTTATGCTAAGCTCTTAGAATTCAAAAAGATTTATATTCATTGTTCATATTATCAATATAAAAACTGAATGTATACATATATATGGTGAATTTAAACGATCCTGTATGACTAATGATGGGTTATAAAACTTTTAAAAACAATAGAAACATACCCAATATATTTTTTATGATAATACACTTAAATATTTTATCGAAAAATAAATACTGAACAATAATTATTGAAAAATGATTTTTATTTTTGTTTTATATATATATATATATATATATAATTAGCTTAAAAAACTGTGTTGAGTTTATCTATTGTTCACCTTGTGCTTCGAGTGTACAGTTTGGTACGCCCATTCTATTGATACTAAAATAATGCAATTTGTTTGCAGTGTGTTTTTTTTTATTTTATTTTAACTACCGTACAATATATAAAAAAATACCATAAAATAAAACTTTAAATACGAGAGATTTAAGTACAAAAATTGTATTTTAAAATTTCTCAAGGTTTACTTCTTTGAAATTATAATTATTAACAACCGAAACAAATTAAAACCTTAAACATAAACATAAAACATAAAACTATAGGTTATATGTATAAAGGTTGTATTAAGGTATACATTTAATTCGTGAATTATTTTGATATACCTGTATTTTATACTATGTACATAAAATATTCACCATTAATCATGAAAACATTCACTTGTGGCAACGCAAGTTTAAGATTAAAGTTAAAACAAACAAAACTGAACCACGACATTTGAGACTTTCGAAATTGTCGAACAACGTACAAATTATAGCCTGTACTAGTACTCTGCACGGTCCGGTCTTTATTAGTCTGGTCTGGTCTTATCGTATAAAAATAGATGAAGAATCGTTTCGGTCCGAATCAATATTTTTTTTGAATGATTTTGTTCCGGTTCTGGTTTAGGCTAATAATTTCGGTTCGTTCCAGTTTCTAAAATATATCAGATCGGTCAGGTCCGGTCCGGACCCATCGATCCCGATTAGTTTAAAATATACTGCTAATATTACGGCTTGTTTCAAATCTAATATCTATTGAACAATGATTTAAAATTATAAAGACATTATTTATAGAATTAATAACACGAATATTATCATTATAGCCCATGGGAATCAATATTTTACCTCAGCACCGTTGTTTTAAATAAATTGTATGTACTATCATATATATTGTATATATCTCAATACTATTCATGGTACCTATTGGCTATTAATAATTTATTATCGAACATATTTTCAGGAAAAATTATTATTATTCCCGTTATGATGCGGGTAACGTGGAATACTATGGAAGTGCCATGCCGTCTAAATATATAAATCTATGCAACTGTCAATGAAATACTCGCACATTATGATATTGATTCATATTAATTATAGTTTATCCATACATTATTTTGAGGAAACGGAGGTTGGAAATGAAACGTGCACTTCTAATTTCTATCCATTCTTGTCGATGATGCCGGTAAGCGGTAATATTTGGAAAATAGTCGATTAGCCAGGCCAGATAGCAAGTAATTCGATATTTCCACTAAAAATTCTTTGTAAAAATAATTAATACTCAATAATGAGATAAACACGAGTATAGTATAGTGTAAATATATATATATATACCTAATATACCTATACTAAAATATAAATTTATTATAGTCTATTTTCATGGTGCAATATTTTTTTAGTTTGGATCGTTTGTCCGCTCTATTATATTATGTTATACTTTGGGTCTTATATGGTAGAAAAAAAAAGGTCCGCAGTCCGATTCGATCCGATCTATAAGCTTTTACAGTCTGAAATTTATTAATTCGGACCGGTGGTCTGGTCTTGGTCGACTCTAACAAATTATTTTAAATTTTCAGTCCAGTCCGGTCTAAAATTAAATATAGCAATCTATCTGTTCGGTCCGACTTCGATTCTTTTTTAACATTTTCAGTCCGATCCGGTCCCTAAAATTATGGACCGTGCAGAGCACTAGCCTGTACTTATTTAATTATAAGGTCATATAAAAATTCCAAATGTATCACCACGAACAACTGGGCTTATAAATCATAATGTGTCAATAAAATTTAAACACATTAAATTACCTCAATCAAGTTAACTTTTATGTTAACCGGTTTTGGTTTCTACAAATAATTATTCTTCAGTAAAGTTTTAAGATAAATATATTTTATTTAATATTCTATTAATCTATACATATTAAATAATTATAATACTTTACCGTTGGCGTTTACTTTATGCAATTTGATATATTCTGGAGAAACAAAATGGAATTACAGTTGTCCCGATTTCTTATTTATCATATTTCCAAAATTAATTAATTTGAAATTAAACAAAATTTAATTTTCTTTTCTAATAGAGATGTTTTTTTTTATTTGTTATAATTTACCGATTCAAATTTAACTTTTAACTCGGTACAATTTATTATTTGTATATCTACGTATAAATAATAATGAAATATCTAATGTTATTGTATGTACACCAAAAAATTTGTTATTATCGCTGAATCACACTTATCATTATGACGATTAGGTAGATGTTTTGAAATTATTTCGTAATTGGGTATTCAGGATCTAATCGTTAACCTCCATTAATAATCGTTAACCGATCCTCCTCACCAACACTATAATCATCATTTACTATGCACACATAAGTACGGCTCACATGCAAGCCTTAATATTATTGCTTATACTAAAATCCTTAAAAATGATCCGTGTGCGTATGCGTATACCTAATTCTATTTAATTCGAACCATTAACGAGAAGTTGTTATATAATATCCATGATTTTATTACATATGGCTACAAATACCGTACGGATGCTGGTGGTGAATGATTCCGTAAACATTTCAGAGTCACGTATATTATTACAACTATTAATAAATTTATATTTATTTTATAACATCCAATTTTATAAATCACATATCTACACAATTTTACTTTGTTTTAACTGCAGTGTTGCCATACCATTCGTTAAGAATATAATATACCAATAATTCAACGGTAAATAAAATACGTAAATAAAATAAAATACGTTTTACCCGGAACAAAACTATATAGTGTACATTCATAAAAGAGGCTATTTTTTTTTTTTTTTTTAAAAAAGATGTTATCTGTGATGTAGTGTTTTTTTTCCTAACCAAAGTCACCCAAGGCTCAATCCTTAACCCAACTCTCTCTAGGATCTACTGCCACATTACAGACGATACACCAATAATAACCCAAATTAAGTGCCCGGAATCTACAATTCAAAATCTCCAAACATCTCTAAACACCATGACTACTTGATTCAAAAAACGAAAATCAAACCTCAACCCAACAAAATTTACAGCAAAAATCTTCACTCTAAAATGGTATAAAGATTTCCAGTTCATTCTCGTTGATAATCAAGCTATATAATGTAATAATAAAGATGACTTCGTTAAGCACCTTGGTGTGTTTTTTATACAAAAAACTGATCGCGCTCCAGCTTCGAGAAAATGAATTCACGAGCTACTGATGTACGTAAGAGAGGACAGAAATATAATAGAATCAAAGAAAATAAGTATAATGCCCTACGAACTAAAATAATAACGCTTGTTTTGATAATGAACAAAATTAAGCTATTGTATATTTGTGATAATAATAATAATTAATAATAATTCAAACGCTTGATAAATAATAAATAAATACCGTGGTGATCACAACTCGATCCACACTAACCAATAAATAAATAAATTAATAATAAATAATACGAATTACAATAAATACGCGTATACACAAATATAATGACATGCAATTGTTGTACGACTTAATTATGGAATTATGGATTTTCGGATGATAATGACCAAACAATAAATGATGAAGGGACCGGTTAAGATATCCCAAACGGTGTCGCACAGCTGCTGTTGGTCACTGATATAGACTGATAATGATTACACCGACGTCAAACAAATCGACAGAAAACACTGACCCGACACTATAATGACGGTGGAGCCTCGTGACGGAAAAGTTGTTGTCGCCGACGGAGGACGTGACACAGAAACGACAACAAACAAAAATGCCCGTTTTGAGTTGGTCACGTTCGGCGCGTTCGCACTGTGCAAAAAAAAAAACAGACGGGTGAACGGACGCGCGAGAT